CATTATTTTGTTGACTATTCTCTGTGAGTTCTTAAATCCCAGTCTCTGTGGACATGTATGTGTCCTTTCCTTAATGTTTCAATGAGAGAAAGAACACATAGCATTTCCTTTTCTTAATTCTTTGAATAAAGCTGGGCTGCGGTGGTACACACCTTTAATCCCAGCACTTGGGAGGCAGAGCCAGGCGGATCTCTGTGAGTTCAAGGCCAACCTGGTCTACAAGAGGTAGTTCCAGGACAGGCTCCAAAGCTACAAAGAAAAAAAAAACTTTGAATAAGTACATCCTAGGGCTGGAGAGATGGGTACTCTTCCAGAATACTCAAATTCAATTCCCAGAACCTACGTGCCAGCTCACGGTATTCTGCAATTTCAGTTTCAGGAGATCAGTACCCTATTCTGGCCTCTATAGGCACCAGGCACACAAGTGGTGCACAGATATACATACAGGAAAATATTTATACCCATAAAACATAATAAAATTTAATAAACACATCCCAAGATATTCTCGTTTTGTTCATACATATATTAAAACAACATCTATCGTTATAACGATCTAGACACTATTTGCAAGGCTGAAGACAGAGTAGTGAATAAGTCAAAGTCCTTGCTCAATCAAATTATAGTGTTACAGAGCCCAGTCCCAATGGATATACTCTTACGTCTAAGGCTCAGGGATCATTGTAGAAGAGGGTGGGAAAGACTATCAGAGGGCAAGGGTTTAGGGAATTTGTTGTGAGTCTGTGTCTCCAAGAAATGTCTGACACTATACTCACCAACATGACTGCCTTAACATGGGCTGAACCAGGACAACAATAGACATTTCAAAGTGGATGGGGTGGGATGGGGAGCCCACAAGTCCTCAACCCTACACAAAGAGCTATGGGCAACTAAGGAATGCTGAAAGTGGGCAAAATGGGAAAGAGCACACCAATGGTCAACCCTGAAAACATACATGAATAACAATTATACAAACCGAGCAGGTTATATTTAGAAATATATGTGTATATACATATATGTGTGTAACAACAGTTAGTGAAAAAAAGAGGTCATGAATTAGGAAGAGAGAAAGGAGGGGCATATGAGAGGGTTTGGGCGGGGACAGGGGAATTAAGAATTGCTATAATTATAATCTCAACAATAAAAGAGAAAAATCTTTCCATATCAGGGTCCATATTACTTTGCAGTTCCTGCGGGGCTGGAGACAGAACCTTAAGCACACTAGACAAGTGTTTTACTACCAAGCTACATCTACAGTCTTCATTTTGAAGTGATTCTTGAGGAGATCACTCAAGTCTACAAAGCTTCCTCTCAACTCTTCTCTGAGTTTTCTTGGGACTTGTCTTTTTCTGACATTCACTTTTCCTTTTCCCATCTGCGACTGTGTTCCTGTTCCCGTCAACTCCTATGTCAGTTGCTAAGAAACCTCTCCTGGGAGCTCAGCGTCATCCTCATCCACAGTTTACAAACACTGCTACCTCCTCACCCTCAGTGAGTCCTCTGTAGTCCTGGATGAACTTCTTGAGTGTCTTATTCCAGATACCATGCATTCATACCTCGGTGACATCACCCGACCACAGACAAAGTTCCGGACACAGTCAGAGATGTCACAATGCTTTCAGAATTGCATCAGTGTCTTTCCAGCATCCCCCTCCACTGCAGCAAAAACCCGGGCAAGGGTCCTCCTTGAGCCACAGGCCTTTCTAAAAGCTACCACAGCTCCTTGATCTATGGTTAGATAAAAGAGGTAGGCTGGGTGGAGAAACAGCGGCTTTGGTGCTAGAATAAACATCACTCATAGAAGAATTTACCAGAATAGTCTCAATAAAAAGCAAAAAGTATGTGACTGTGTGTGTGGGGGTGTCTAATACCTGCTAATCCACCTCTGAGCTGTATCTCCAGCTGTCTTGTTTGAGGTGGGATCTTAGGTAGCCCAGGCTGTATAGCTGAGGATGACCTTGAACTTCCCTGGGTCCTGTCACCACTTCCCAGTGTGTACATCACACATCTGACTTGTTTGTTTTGTTGTTGTTGTCGTTGTTTTGTTTTAAGGCAGGAAAACAGAGTTTAAGGAGGAAGAGAAGGAGCTTCCTGAGGCCAGAGAGAGTGCCACAGGGAGCCAACCTAAAAGTGGGTTGCCCCAAACTTGATTATTTTTAGACAGGCTTTCTTGCAGTGCCTTGGTCAGGCTATCCTTGAACTTACTGTCACAGCACAGACAGGGCTTCAACTTGGAATCCTCCTGCCTCAGCCACTAAGTAGCTAGACTCACATGGCTGCTCCAGAGATCCAGCTAATAACCAAGCTCTTGAAATGTGCATTTTTAACAACAGTCCCTCCTTCTCACAAGCATAGCAATTCAGAAGATATCAGAAGAGCTGGGTCAAGATTTCTTGTGGCTCCTGATGTACCTGGGCACTGTGTACTCATTGATATGCTTGGAGACCCTGGGGTTTTCTCTAACCAGTTCACAAAGACTTATGCATCTGCGACACTGCTTCCAAGCAAGCCTGCAGCTCCATCCTTAAAAGCCTCGAGACTCAGCACTGACACCTGTTCATTTCCAGAACAGGAATGCTTCCCCATACTGAAGATTCACTCTGGTAGGTGATTTTTCTTCCTCAGTCAGCTCACGTGGAGCTCCCCCAAATGGTCCTGCTGTTTTCACACAGCCCATTAAGACTGGCTGTTTTCTTTTTTGTCATTTTGTTTTTGTTGTTATTTGGCTTTTGAGGAAACAAGATCTTACACTGTATCCCAGGTTTGCCTAGAACTTACTATATAGCCCAGTGTAGGCCAAAATTTGTCTTTTACCACAGCCTCATGAGTACTGAGATTGTAAGTATGAACCAAAACAATTCACTTGGGTTGTTTTGTTTTGAGATGGGGGTCTCAAATAGCCCAGGAAGGCCTCAAATTCACTATGAAGCTGGAATGGCCTATATGCCTCCTAAGTTTGTCAGGGCAGAGTCCCAGTGCTTCAACTTCTTCTTCTTCTTTTTTTTTTTTTTTTTTTTGTTTTGGTTTTTCAAGACAGGGTTTCTCTGTAGCTTTGGAACCTGTCCTGGAACTAGCTCTTGTAGACCAGGCTGGCCTCGAACTCACAAAGATCCACCTGCCTCTGCCTCCCGAGTGTTGGGATTAAAGGTGTGCGCCACCACCGCCTGGAGAAAATAAATATAATTTTAAAAGTCTAAAGATGTAGCTCAATGGTAGAGTGCTTGCCCAGCATACATAAAACCCTAAGTTTAATCCATAGTTCTGCAAAGAAACAACTCTTTCTATAGCTAATATAGGGGTCTTTTTTTTTTTTTTGGTTTTGGTTAAGTGTCATTGCCTTCAGTGAAGCAGATCTTTGATTTCCACCCCTTTGTTCTACTCCAAGATCACAGCTGTCCTGGCAGCTGTGCAGAAACAGGACTGAGCTGTTTAGTAAGCAGTAGCTGTCTTTGACTGTTCCACCTTTGCAGTCCTTGGTCACGTTTTAAATGGAAGCCTTGCTGTGTTTTCTAGGCTGGCCAGGATTTCCTAAGCCCGAGCAGCTCTCTTGACTCAGCTTTCCCAATAGCTAGGACTAAAGGTGTGCGTCACTCGTGCATGCCCAGCTTCTTAATCAGCGAGCACTCATTTCTAGGTCACTCGATGATGGTTGGTAACATTTGGGATGGGTTTTGTGTGCTCAGACAACAGGAGATTAAGTCAAGAGGGAGAGAAAATTATGAAATCGAGAGATGTAGTAATCATGAAATCATGAGCTGTATGAGGCTCTGTGTGTGTGTGTGTGTGTGTGTGTGTGTGTTTGTACATGCTATGGTGGAGGTGGAGGTGAGAGGACAGCCTGTGGGGATTGGTTTTCTCTTTCTTCCACATGGGCTCTGGGGATCGGTTTTGGTGGCAGGCACCTTACCAGCTGAACCATCTCACAAGATCCCAGATCTGGTAAAGAGGCTCTGGATGGATCTGAAGTGAGTCCTTAATAAAGCTAACAGTGGAAAAGGAGATCCAACCACAAGCCACCTCTGTATTTACAGACTTTAGAGGGTAGTGTTTTCTGAGTTTAGAAGTATTGTGGAGAGCTAGAGAGATGGCTCAGAGGTTAAGAGCACTGACTGTTCTTCCAGAGATCCTGAGTTCAATTCCCAGCAACCACATGGTGGCTCACAGCCATCTGTAATGAGATCTGGTACCTTCTTCTGGCCTGCAGGCAGACATACAGGCAGAACACTGTATACATAATAAATAAATCTGGAAAAATAAAAAAGGCGTGTTGTGGAACATTCCTTTACACTGTGAAAATTTGTCACTGTGATTTGGGTTAATAAAAAGCTAACTCTGGTAAGGCAGAGACAGGCAAATCCCTGTGGGTTTGAGGCCAGCCTGGTCTACAAAGCAAGTTCCAGGAAAGCTAGGGCTGTTATACAGAGAAATCCTGCCTCGAAAAACAAAAACAAAAACAAAAAAAAAAGCTAACTGATCATTCGCTAGGCAGGAGGTATAGCAGGGACTTCTGGACAAAGAGAACGCTGGCAAGAAAGGTGGAGTTGCCAGCCAGACAGGGAAAAAACAGGATGGGCAAATGGAGATGAGGTAACGAGAGCATGGAAGAACGTAGGTTAAAAAAATATTTAAGTTATAAGAGTTAGTTAGGGGCAGTGATGGTGCATGCACTTGGGAGGCAGAGGCAGGCAGATCTCTGTGAGTTTGAGACCAGCCTGCTCTGCAAGAGCTAGTTCCAGGACAGGCTCCAAAGCTACAGAGAAACCCTGTTTGAAAAACCATAAAAAAAAGAGTTAATTAGAAACAAGCCTAAGCTAAGGTCAAGCTCTCATAGTTAAAAATAAGTAATAAGTCTCCACGTCGTTCTTTGCAAGCTGGTTGACCAAAAAAAAAAGATCCATCTATGTAGAGGAGTTAGTAACTCTAAATTTAGCAGATTAGTGAAGCAAGTTTAGATAGGATATAAAACACTAATTTAGGGAGTTAATCCCATTGTCCCACCCTACCTGGAGGCTATGCACATTGGGAGTTTAACACACTAGGGCAGACACTAGGTAGGCTGTCCTGGAGATCACTCTGTAGACCAGGCTGGCCTTGAACTCACAGAGATCCACCTGCCTCTGCTTCCTGAGTGCTGGGATTAAAGGTGTGCTCCACCACCTCCTGACAGTATTTTCTAAAATAAAAAAAAGGAAAAAAATGTAAGAAATGCAAAGACCCACCCATAACCTAGCTGCTAGTTTGAAGTACCACCTGCACTAGGGGAAGGACAGCACAGTAGGTGAGAATACACAGCATTATCACAAATGCAGCCTTTATGTGTCGTGCTGTGACCTTACAATGGCTGTGACATCACGGAGGTGAAAGGAATTTCCAACCCCGTTCTGGTCTTAAGGGGTCATCATGGAATATGCAGTTTATTACCGATATCAATAACCACTCAGTTTTTTCAAAAACAAAGATTTTTATCTTTAAGCTGTGTATATGCGCTGTGGAAGAGGCACTCTGAAAGGCTGTACACTTCGAGTAAAAAATGAGATTGTTGCCAAGTGGTGCTGGCACACACCTTTAATCCCAGCATTCCGGAGGCAGAGGAAGAAGGATCTCTGGGAGTTTGAGGCCAACCTGGACGACAGAGAGAGTTCCAGGATAGCCAAGGCTAAACAGAGAAACCCTGTCTTGGAAAAAAAAAATTGTGTCTGTGTCTGACGTGTGAGACAGGCCACAGCGAGCCTGCAGAAAACCAGAGGACAAGTTTAGGTAGTCCGCTCTTGCTTCTCAATCGGCTGAGGCAGGCTCCTTTTCAGGGCCGCCACGCTACACCCCAGCTTCCTTGTTGTCCTGTCTCTGCTGCTCATCTCATTATAGGAGTGCTGGGTTTACATCACTGAATCTCTGCATCTGGCTCTTATGTGGATTCCAGAGATAGAACTCGGGTTGTCAGGCTGGAGAGATGGCTCAGTGGTTAAGAGCACTGGCTGTTCTTCCAGAGATCCTGAGTTCAATTTCCAGCAACCACATGGTGGCTCATAACCATCTGTAATGCGCTCTGGTGCCCTCTTCTGGCCTGCAGACATATATGCAGACAGAACATTGTATACATAAATTTAATAAATTTAAAAAAAATAAAAATTTATAAAAAAAAGAACTCAGGTTGTCAAGCTTGAAAAGCTAGCACTTTCTCCTTATCCCCCTTCCTTCTTTCCTTTCTTAGATTGGGTATCCTTATGTTGCCCAGGCTCGCCCTGAACTCATGGCAATCCCAACTATTGGGATTTAGGTGTGCACCATACACCAGGTTTACATTTCTTTTTGCTTTTCCTATAGGTACTGTTGCTATTGCAAAATCATCCTCTCTGTGGTGGTTTACAAGTAACTAACACCTGTCTTGAACTTCTGCCAAGTGAGAGGGTGACTAATATTTTAGTACTGTTCTCTAATTGAAATGGTAGTAGGCTCAAGGAAACACACACCAGTTTTCTCACCAGACACATGGGCCTAAAACTGTACCTTTATAAAGAAGTGAGTATATATTTATAGATCATATATACGGCATATGATGCATATATATACAAACACACATAAACTCGTAGGAACAAGGTAAGAAAAACATAGAATAAAGACAAAGAGTGTTGGATGTAAGGGCACACATCTATAATCCCAGGATTTGGGATTTGGGGAGGCTAAAAGGCAAGACAATGTGAAATTTCAGGCCAGTCTGAGCTACTTACTTAGTGAGACTATCTTTTGGTGGGGATGAGTTACTGACCAAAGGTTCTCATGTAGCCCAGTCTGGCCTGGGATTCATTATGAATCAGAAGGTGAGCGTGAATCTATTTCCACCTCCCAACTGCTGGAAAAACATGCATGTGTCATCATGCCCAGCTCATGGTTCCATCTTTAAAACAAACTGGTCAGAAGCCAGGTGTGGTCATGCACACCTTTAAGCCTAGCACTTGGGAGGCAGAAACAGGTGGATCTCTGAGTTCAAGGGCAGTCTGGTCTAGGTAAGGAGATCCAGGACAGCCTGAGCTACATAGTGAGACTCTGTCTCCAAATTAAAAAAAAAAAAAAAAGGCTAAATTGAATACAGAAATTTTTTTGAGGCAGGATTTTCTTGTTAAGTAGCACTGGCTAGCCTTGAACTGGCCATCCTCCTGCCTTGTCTCTCTGAATGCTTGAATTACAGGCATTCAACACCCCTTGCTGTTAACATAGAATCTGCGTGCACTTTGAGTTAGTGATTTTGTAGAGTTAGGATTGAAAGTAAAAGGGTTTGGGACTTACCCATTAAACACAGTAGTATCTCTCAAAATCCTTTCTGACCTTTGCTTGCCCAAATGACATCATTGGACAGACTTCCTTTCAAACCTCAGGGGAGGGGTTTATTTGTTGTTCTTGATGAACCTGGCTTTATCAGGCAGGAGCCAGGTTTTATAAATCAGTTGTGATGGCCTAGGGCCTGACAAAAAGAATAATAATAAATCAATAAACAGTGAATCGAAACAGGTCAAGGTCAACTCTTGCCTTCTTGTTGAAAGAACGACTGTGGAGAACACCCTCATCTGTCTTCTTTGCATATGCTGAATAGTCTGCAGAGGCAACAAGCCAGGCCTTACCCAGGGAAGGGACAGATAATTTGGCTTGATCTACCTGACAAAAGACACAGAGACTGCGAACTCAGGAGACAACTAACCCAGACTGGAGGGTCAGAAAAAGCTTCCCAAGGGAAATGAAATTGAGTTCGGGAAGCATGTATAGGAATAATGATTAGCCCAATGAGAGGTAGAAGGTCAGGAGTAGTTTATGTATGGAAACCTCAGTCAGAGGGGGCAGTCTTTAGTATAATTAGAAGCAAGTTGGCCATCCTGGAATTTATCAAAGAGGGGCAATACTGCTAATGAGATAGATATTTCTTTGTTTATTTGTTTGTTTTCAAGACAGGGTTTCTATTGTGTAGACCC